TCCCCCCCCCCCCCCCCCCCCCCCCCCCCCCTCCTAGTTATTTGGCAAATTAGTTACATTTTAAAGCTACTCTTTGCATCAACGTTCTTTGAGAGAGAGAGAGAGAGAGAGAGAGAGAGAGACAGATCAAGATATATATCCATGTATATCCCACTAATTAGATCCGGTGGCGGATGTGCATTGGGTACGGTAGCCGGGGTGTCAAATATCCACCCCTCAGCCACATCCCTAGGCGAAATTTGAGAATCGGACATGCCGTCCAGATGGGGGAGATGAGGTACCACGCAATTTTTCCGCCTTACAATTAATTACGGGTGGCCGGGCGGAGGGTGTCAAAGGGTCTCTGCTAGATTGCCCGGTGTTATTGGGAGGAATTAAGGAAAGTTAGGAAGTTTAAATTTAAATTGAAATTATTTACGATTTAAATATAAATAACTATAAATAAAATATGCATTTAATACCGAAATTATTTCAATAAATTTTAGTTAAAATTTTAAGAAAAACATGTTTTAGTCAACACTCGAATAGTAAGTTATAATTTACACACAATGCGTCGTCGTAGCGACTGGAATGTTCACGACAAATTAAATTAAATCCTTCAATATCAAAAATCGATGTAAGGATTAAAATAGTCATGGAACCGTTTTTGCTTAATGCTGGTTCTGTAAGGCCTACCTGTAATATATTCGGTGAAACATCAAATTTGTAGGAAAATGTTTCTATTACTACTGGAAAGGTTAGATTTTTTTATAAATGAGGAGGCAATGCAACACAGTTTTGCATCTTTTCAACCCACCAGGTCTCTTAATAAAAATCGGAAGTCGAAGTGACCCGATTTTTGATAAAGCGCTTGATCCTGAATTCGTTGCCGTAGTTTTGGCGAGTGTCTTAACGTGTGCTCCAGAATAACGCATTTTACGTCTTGCCAGTCTAAAAACTTTCAAAACAATTGCTTGCATATTTTTTGAAACACCCAATTTGACCTGTTGCTCTTCCGGGTCGCGCATGCAAATCCGTGGCGTCTGGCGGCAGTTGGGCCCATATTTTGGGCCCTTACGGTGCAGCCCGGATGCCCTTGATAATCCCTTTAATCCGCGAAGGCGCGTCTCTCGCCCTCTCTCTCTCTCTCTTTCTCACTCTCTCTTTCTCTCGTCCCGTATTTATGCCCTTAAGGCATAAAGGCACTTACAGGTGAAGGCCGGGCCTCCGGCTTGACGCCTTGGCGGCTATAATTTGCATATGGCTGGAATTTTAGAACGTGAAAATGCGGCGCAGTTGCATTGGGGTCAAAAAATTCAGCGCGAACTGTTGTAATTTTGAAACATTTTCTTTCGGGGATAACTATGGATTTTCGATAAGCAACGTCGCTTACAAGTAAAATAATTATTGAACTAAAGTTGTTATACTGATACCCGATTGGCATTTTCTAAACGCTCGACAGATGCAGCGCTTTTGAAACACGCGGTTTTCTTGGTACAAAAATGTCCTTTCCGGACTCAAATTTGGTTTCAGTTCAAATTGTATAAATGCTACAGCGCTTACCTGAATCGAGATATACCTTTAAGGAATAGATAATATTAATAAGTCCCAACAACAAGGATTGAGTACATTATTAAATCGGCGATTTCTAGGAAAAATTATTACCTTATTTTGTACGTAATTTTGTAATTTATTTAAATCTATTGATGTTGATAATTCCTGCTCAAAGTATGACATTCATCAAAAGCGCCGGACATTAAAAAAAATAGGTTTCGGCACCCTTCAAATCGACCATGGTTTTTAGCAACTTTAATTCCACGGTACCAGAGGTGATAACTATTTTGGGCGTTTAACCTTCCAGAAAAGAATTTTTTCGGTTCACTGGCTGCTAAAACAATACATCAATTTCAAAGTCGAATTTCAAATTTTCTTGCGATCTTTACCTGGCATGGCCCTTTAAAAACGTCCATATGTCATTGTCGGCGCGGGATGAGAGCGATTAACTGGGTAAATCCCTAAATTGCCCTCGGGGCATCAAAGCGAGCGGCGGGGGGAGTGGGCAAACATTCCCCCAAAAAGGGCACAAAATAGTCGACCACCAAATGTTGCGCCTAGCTGCTAATTGCGCGTGTTTTAGGGAACCGTCTGGCTGTTTGGTCGTTTATTTAAAAAAGATGTTTTAACGTGACGAAAAGGTTGGAATTGCCTCCTCAACAATCTCTGTTTCTTTAACATCAACAGCATTCATCATTTAATATACTTTAGGGGAGGTTCTCCTAAAACAATGTTTCGGAAAATATGGACCAGCCCCCGGTCTTCTCGAGTTACAATAAATTCTCGTCCGTTTTTAGGCTGCAATCTATTAGTATGAGGGCTTCAAGAGTATACATGGGTCGACCTTCATCCCATAAGCGTGGCCGGCCACGCTCCGGAAACGCTTATGCAAAGCTTATCAAAATGCAAAATCAAAGTTTTCCAAGGGACATGAAAGCAAAAATCGATCCGTTTTCGAGAATTTAACTAACAAGAAGTTGGATCACGATCTATCTTGTTTATTTATCAAAATTTAAAGATGACTCTGATAGTTATGTATCGGTAATTCATTTTTGCAAATCGAAACCATAAATATGTGCCCTTTAAATTTTTGATTTGCATCTGGAGTTAAATCGCGCGCGTGAAAAAGCACGCGTAAAGCGCCGCATAAGCGTGGTCCTCCACGCTTCGGAAGAGCGTGGCCAGTCACGCTTATGCGGCGCATGCAAGCGTCGACCCATGTCAAGAGGCTCTTTTTATGTTTTAATTGCGAGTAAGCTCTTTCGAAATAGAATCGACAATATTAACGCTTCCGACACAGAAAAAAATCATGTTTCGGTAAATAACAACGACTTTGGCCAGCTCCAATCAGAATTAATCCTGTCGTATAGTATCCAAAAAATGTTGGGTTCGACCCCCGGCCTTGACAACTTTTTGGTTTTTCATAAAAAGCCGGAAGTTGGGAATTCTGGGGTCGCATGGCCATGGACTAGCTTGGATGTTTCTTTAAAGGGGCTCGGAAGCCGAAATTCGCGCGTGCTGGGATTAGGCCTACTCGTCAAAAATCGAACGCTTCACTGCCGAGAAGACCCAGAACAGTCATTTCTTTGCGAAAAAAACGTAAAATGTTCGAGTAAACCGAAATATTCTTGGGGCGAAAACGACTTTTTCAGTGGACGGCGCTTGCATGTGTTCGTAATGCCTTGTAACGCACCCTCTCGCACTCGATCTCGGTCATTCTCTGATCATTTTCCATAATTAAAACGTCTAGAACGATCAAAAAAATTCAATGTGGATCACAAAAATAGCGTCAGACTTTTTAAATTCAAGCGTTTTCACGTCCTAACAGGCGCAAAATGTTATGCGGCGCGGGCGCGTTGCCGTCGCATCTGACTAGTTGCCTGGAATCCACACGAAGAGGCGGGGGCCAGATTTCGGACAAGGTGGTGTCATAAATTCCCCTGCTCCCCTTCTTCCCATGTTTCCAAATATTTTTATTCCATTCCGAAGGGCACACACATGAGGGGAAAAAACTGTAAAAAGACGCGCATAAATAGTCACAAACTCCAGGGGAGAGAGAGAGAGAGAGAGAGAGAGAGAGTGAGAGAGTGAGAGGGAGAGGGGCAGAGAAGAAACCACAATATTGTTGCACGACAGTACGAAAAATTTGATGACACGGTGTAAAGCGGGTGTAAGGTGGAGCATATTGGATGGAGGAGACATCAAAACCAATGGTAGAGGGCACGTAGGGTACTACTGTAGTGTCCAGGTTGTACTTCGGAAAGGTTCGGAATGGAATAGAATACAGCAAAAAATTCGGTTCATAAGTCTAAGCCTAAGCCTAAGCCTAACCTAAGCCAAGCCTAAGCCAAGCCTAAGCCAAGCCCAAGCCAAGCCCAAGCCCAAGCCTAAGCCAAGCTTAAGCTAAGCCGAAGCCTAGGCCAAGCCTATGTTAAATCGGTTCCGATTCCGCTCGATTCCAAATTACAACCCTTACACTAAAAAAAACAAGCATTATCAAACACACACACCAATCAAAACCGGGCCAGCTGCAAGGGGTAGTGGGTGGGTTCACAAATTAACATAAAATAAAATAAAAATTCGAAAATTCGAAAATTAAAGTGCGAGTAGATGGTGGCGGGGCGGAGATTATTTGTTTCCGAGTGGGGTTTTTTGGAGCAACTAGGGTGAGGGGAGGGAGCAATCGACACAAACTACACTTTAAATAATAATAAAATCGGAATAAATGGATTATAATGCACCAAATATATTTACAAGGCCCAAAGGGAGGGGGTAAGCATCCAAAACAGCCAAAAAAATTATCGGAAAATATGTGTTACAAAAATTTTTAAAAATCGGGGATTAGGAAAAAGGTAATTGATTGATTTTGGAGCAGATAAGAATAAAGGTGAGTAATGGAATAAGTGCCTTTTCGTGGGGTATTGAAAAATTGAAATTGCCGGTTGGGTGGGGAGGTATTTTGCCAAATATTGGATTTAACGGGTTTTATAGCAGGATACAGTAGTTTACAATAATTAAAAATGGCTGGTTTTAAGTTGGCCTTTTTGGAATCGATGGATAATTATGTTTTCCTTGATTTTGAAGGCCTAATAGTGAAAATGAATTTTAACTTAATTAAAAAATGTCTGAAACTTATTTCTTTCTATTTTTAAGTCGCCGTAGCGTTAAATTCCGTCATTTTTAATTTAAATTTTTTTGAAGGAGGTGGAGACTTATTAATGCCAAAAATCCTCATACATACGTTTTAGAAACACATTTCCTCAGTTCCAAAATAGACAAAGTTCCATTTTTAGCCAACCAAATTAGGGCAGACTTAACTGGACAGATTAGAAAAACAGGTCATTTTGGGCTGAAAGATTGGATTTTAAAGGGGAAGCGACAGGGCGCTTTTCCATGTCACGCCCCCTTTAAAATCGCAATTAAATGTGGGCTTTAAATAATTAAATCCAGAGTCCGAGTTAAATTCATCTGCGCTGCAACTCCTGGCGGATGACGTCGATGATATCCTGCTTGGCGCGCGCAATCTCCTCCTTCACCTCGGCCATCAGGTCGGCGCGGAAGCGCTCCAGGAATTCGGGGGATACCTTAACGGCGAATTTAATTACTTTATAGTAAAAATTATATGGTTGGTACAAAAGTAGGGAAATATCTTTTTTTCGAATATCTAAAAACATTAAAAGCACTGATTTTAAAGATTTGCTAACACTTTTTCGAAACATCGTTTTGTCGAAATATCATTTTGTCGAAGTTTTAAAGCGCCGAAATTTCAATTGTCGAAATGTTTGTGATTAATAATCCAGGGAAAAAGGCATTCAAATTTCGATCAAAAAATTTTCGCAAAACGACAATCAGCCCTTTTGAAATAAAAACGGGGGCTGTTAGATGCTTTTGAATTATTACAATTAAAATTAAAAACTCAGATGGTTTTAGCGCTGCGATTTTAAAAAGTGTGTTTTACTACTATAAAAATGGCCATGAAAAACTAGCGACATTACCAAAATGCAGTTTCGCGATTTCGGGTGTTATACTCGACTTTAGCGAAACTGTGCAATATTAGTTTTTATTAGGCTGGTTAAACTAAGTTTTTCGAAACATCATCCTTTTTGAAATGATTTGATTACCCAGTCATTAGTAAATCCTTTAGAAAGATTTGTTTTAGTTGATTTGCCAGTCGCCTGGGACTGGTGATATACATATAATCAAGACTTACAAGCTACTCGCCAACCTTATTTTTAGTATTTTAAAAGGGAATAATTACCGTATTCCCAGCTGCGTCTTGCGGTGTGCTGATAGATGAGGCGGACGGGGCTCTAAAATACGTTATATAGTAAGTAATAGAATAAATAACATAATCCAGAAAAGAATCAGGTTCTAAGAAACAGCGGAAAAATAGATATTTTGCAATTGCGATTTAGTCGGGAATCTCCTTCGATTAAATAAATGAGGCCGCGTTCTTAATTTTGTAATTGCCGAAACATGCAAATTTTTTGACGAGATTTTAAGGGATTCACACCGGAAGCTAGATTAAAACCCTAAAATCAGCTTTATTGCGAAAATTTAGTGAAACATGTTTTAAATTTTCTAGTTTAGAAAAAAGCAATTACTTATTGAACCTACTTTCTGTGCGTTTTCGGGCTTTCCGGAGCTGCGGCGGCGATGCCGTTGACGATGCCGTTTGTCTGAATCAGAACAAAATACATAAAGTTCAACATAGCGTAAAATAGATATTTAATTATTATTTTTAATTAATAATTATGTAAAAATCAGAAAATATATTTAATAAATTCAAACCAATTGTTTTATTCGTTTTTACAAAAAAATGGGTGTTTCATGATCGTCATAATTACTTATAAGCATCCCTCAGCAAATGTGAATTATCTTAGACATCAAGAAATGTATATTTTGAAAGATTGAAACTAATTATTTTTCGATTTGTTTTTGCTAACTGATGCCTCATGCTCGTTTTGCTACAACATCTATGTTTCTTTTTTTTTTGATCGGCGCATCGGATTACCTTCACCGGCTCCCATTTCTTGACGGCTGGCGCTGCACTACTCGCTGATGTCGCCGGGGGCGGCGGCGGCCGAATTTCAGAAGAAGAGGATGTGCCAGAATCGGCGGAACCTAAATCATAGTTATTTTCTCATAGAGAAAAATATTTTAAATATGACGTAAGAAAAACGTAGCGGTTTGATCATTAATTGTGTGACCAGTAACTTTTTTGAAACAAGTTTTGTCAAATTATTCTGCCGTATCCTAGAAGTCGATCGAAAAGCGTTTTTCTTATTATTTTGATCTGTGACTGATTCTAAATTAATTTAGCAACAATACTTATAATAATCAAAGAAAAATAGTAACACGATTATTTGAAGGCAATATTATACTCGAGAAAAATTTTCCGGCTTAACAATTTTTTTCAAACATTGATTTTCAGGCCGCTTTTCTGGTTCTTTTAAACTAATTTTGTTCTATTTTTTGCGTGTACGAGAGTGAGCGAGAGAGAGAGAGAGAGAGAGAGAGAGAGAGAGAGCAAGAGAGATATGTGTCCATATACACAGAGAGAAATTCTGAGAAAAATCAAGTTTCAACGAATTGACTAGGCTGGATTTTTATCGCATAGCTAGTAAGTTACTCATCGTCTTCAGTTTCGCTCTCTAAAAATATGCAAATTCCTACCATTCGATATATTGCTCTTGTTGTCCTGCGAATCTCGCTGGGCCTGCGCATTCTTTTTCCGGTTGATCGTCTGCATCAGCTCGCTCATCAAGTTGTTCCCTCCGCCGGCCGCGCCTGAAAATTTGAAATTGAAAATAAGATTGAATTAAAATTATATTTGAAAAACACTTTAGATAATTTTAGTTCAGACATTTTAGAAACGAACAAACGCCGGGATGGAATAATACTTCGCGGTTTTTTTACGAACCCGTCTTGAATTTGAAACATTTAAAAATTTTGGAAATAAAAAGTTTACGGATTAGTCGCAACCGAAAAAAATGGGGGATTTATTTAATTCATTACTATTATTGGCTTAATTTTAGTTGTTTAAAGATTCATTTTTAACATTATTTAATTTGGTTGAGAAGGGCTAGAAATACGAAAAGGAACCATTAATGCTGGTTCAAGGTATGCCAAAATAGTCACAACTAGCTGAAACATTTGGCTGACCTGCAGGTGGTGCCGGTTTTTCGAGGGCCTCGCCCAGACTCTGACTCCGCGTTTCTTTTCCGGGGGTTGAGGATGAGGCTGCTGCAGATGCGGTGGTAGTTTTGCGAAGCGTGATTCCGGCTGAAAAAGAACGAAGTATGTTTCACGAAAATTATTGGTCGAGCTTACTACTTGGGACGCAATACACGCCATTTATATCTTTTCACTGTTTGCCGGCGTCAAACATTTTTTAATAAAAAAAATAAATTTAAGGGCATATAGACATAGAGAACTTATAGAACTAAATAAGCACAGAAAATCTTTGAAAGGTCAGTAATTATAATTTTCTTTTTATTGTTGTATATTTATCAACGAAAATTTAGTAATCAATTAAACCTTGGATCAAACAATGCAATATAATGAAATAAATATGGGTTTAACGAAGCGTGATTCCGACTAAAAAAATGAGTATGGTTCATAGAAATTATTGGTCCCACTTCTTCTTGCCACACAATAAAGAAATTTTTGTCTCATCGGGCCGGTCACCATCGTGAAACAAATTTTAATTAAAAAAAGATTGAGAGGGATAAATAAATGGACAATTTCTATAAGCGAAATTATATAGAAAATCATTAGAACTCAAGGTATCTATCAAGCGAGTAAAGCTTTCGCGCTGCTAGAAACTTATAATTTTCTTTTATTTTAAACATTTATCATAAAAGGGATTAAATTAAGCGTTAAAGGAAATAATATATTAATGAAGTATTGAATGAAGGCATCATATTAAATCAAACCTTAACTAAAATTTTTGATTTTTCGATTTTCCAGCATTTTTAAATATTGTCGTGGTGTCACCCCCGTATAGACATTATTGCTTTGCCATCACCGAAAAATCCGTAAATTTTCAAATCTTTCTTGGCCTCATAATTTTCGTAAAACACATTTTTTCTTAATCTCAATTTGCTGCACCTCAATTGTTGTACCTTTAATTTGATCAGCCATCGTCAGCCCGCCTGGGCCGCCGGGTGGCGGAGGTGGCGGAGGAGGTGGCGGGGGTGGAGGAGCTCCTAAAACAATCAAATTTATTTTGTCCTCAGTTCGGTAATAAATACTTCTTTATGGAATTTGATTGGCTCTTAAATAAGAATCAGTTTTTTATATTCAAAAATTCGTGGCCAGTTACCTGCTTTAAAATTTTTTTTGATTTGGATGTTTCAGCACATCTATGGAGTCGCAAAAATGGCCAATCAGTCAGTTTTATCAAGATATCTTTATTCATGGTGACTTTTTATAAAGTGCCTATCCCTTATATATACCTAAAATTTAGCAAAAACCCTTTAAAAAATATCATGGTCTAGTAGGCTCCAATTTATTGTGTCAATTTGCGGGAAAAAGCTTTAGGTTTCACCGAATTTAAGCTACCAAGCGGACTTCCCAATGTTAATTTGCCTTCCAAAACCGCCAGTCCAATAATCTTTGCTAGCCTGCCCCAATTCCGCTCATGTTCTTGCTGTGACTCTCCCTTTAAAACACTCACCAACTCCAACAGGGGGTAGCGCGGGGGCGGCAGGTGGTGGAGGGGCTGGAGGAGGCGCTGAAGCCGGGGCTGCTGGAGGGGGAGGAGGAGGGGCTGGTGCTCGAGATGGAGATGGCACGGAGGACTGAAAACAAAACATTGCATTAATCAAATAATGGAAAAATATACCCTGAAAATTTCGATATTTTTTCTTAAAATCAATGTTTTATGTAATACCCTCATCAGAACGTAAAAAAGTTGATTTTAATGGACCATTTTAAATGGAAGCGAGTGGCCTTCAAATTGGTGTCAAGAATTTGTCGGGATTTTCCTGTCCTGTCGGGAATTCTTTCAGCTGTCGGGATTTGCGTGTCGGAATTTCAAATGTCAGCATTTTGGCTGTCGGGATTTTAAATGCCAGTATTTTCGGTAACGGGATTTGGGCCTGTCGGTATTTTTCTGTCATGATTTTGGGCCTTCGGATTATGACTAAAATTTCTTACGAAACAATTGCCTCTTTTTCTACAGTACCTCCTGCATGGCCATTTTTTGCGGCGCCGGCCCGGGCGCAAAAAGACGCACCGACACGGCCAGCGCGCCCTGCAGCATATTGCGCAATTTTCGGTTCTTCGCGTCGAGCATTTTTTCGGGGTTTTAAAGGGCCCGTGAAGCCAGGAGATTTAGTAGATATTGTAGAAATTTACTAGAATTTAGAATTTAGTAAAAATACAGAAAATCTGGGAATCTAATAGGATTTTAAGTTAATAGAAAGAGGATGCAGCTGGGAATCCAAATGTTGTTTTCGGGGAGGCAAAATGGGGACTTTCGGGGGAATTTGCCCTCAGGCAAGGCGTCCCAGGGCCCCCCAAAAATCGGCTCAAATTCCTCGAACAAACACGCGCCGCGGTGGCGCCCGAGCGCTCGATTAGCTGCTAGGCAAATTTTTTGGGCATTTTTAGCGGAATTGCTGGTTTTTGAGGTTGGGAATAGAAAAATAATGCATTTCAAAATTTTCATAATTTCGATTCCCAAAAAGTGTTTCGAGAAGCGTATGTAGCAACAAGTATATTGATGCTACAATTGTCTCGAAATGCTGACGGAAACAGTCTATTTTTGAACGCCAAAAGAAATGACATGAAATAGAAAATTTCCGATTATGGTACATTCTGGAAAATGAGATTTTTAGATGCATCCCTATTTAAAATTGCTGTTGGTATTTAAATTTGGTTGGCGCGAAGGTCAAAGTTATTTCACGAAAGAAAAGTACGTTTCAAAAACAAGTTTTTAAAAAGATTTGTGAAGGTTATCATTGTGCGAAACCGACCGTCTAAATAAAAATAAATCTATACCAAATAAGGAAAAATTCCAAAATTTATTTTGATTACAACTTTATAAAAATTGGGTTTTCTAAAATTCGACTTGTTTTTGGCTATAAATGAGGGAAATATTGGCTTGCCAATCCCTTTAAACCGAATTTCCCTAATATACGGTACCTGTTGATACATATTGGCGACCATTGTCGACTGGCTGCCCTGGCTGCCGATGCTGCTCCCCTGAAATGGTTTTGATTATTTGATGCTATTCCATTAAATATTTAATTTTATGAAGCTAAACATCTATAAATACTTCTATACGACATTAAATATAGTACAAAATATTTTTGTGCTATAATGTTTCTTAAAACCTTTGCTTGCATGCAGCTTCGATTCAGATATTCGACGTCGGAAAGACAGTCCCAAAAATCTTTTGAAAAATGCTGTTTCAGACACATCGGTTGGCTTTCGCAATTGAATCGCTTTAATTCTTGCAACCCAACGCTTCGCTTGAAGTTAAATACCTAGATATTTAATTTAATGGAGCTAAATTTGGGTAGTATTTTTGCGCATTGATGTTTCACAAAACTTTAACTTTCATGCGGTTTCGATTCAGATATCCCCGTCAACTTAAAATCCATAAATCTTTCCAGGAATGCAGTTGCAAAAAATTATCTAGTATTTTGCGATTAAATCGTTTCAAATCGTTCCACTCCATGTTTCGCTTAAATTTAAATACCTAGTAATTTAATTTAATGAAGCTAAATAAGAATAATTTTTGTTTGAGTCCAAATGTTCAGAAAACTAGCACTTTCAAGAGCCTTCTTTTCGTATATTAAATCGCCCAAAGTGGTTTTGAAAATTATGTTTCAGTAAAAAAGTTTGAGGTTTGCACTTAAATCGATTTAATGCAGCCCACTCCGCTAGCCTAAATTAATCCCTACAAAATTCCCGTTCAACTTTTTACGTTTAAGCGTTAAAGGAGCATCAGTTCATGCTCATGCGGCCAAAAACCCTGTTCGATAACCATGTTTCAGATTATTGCGCTTCTCGTGGTAATTAATTTGTTCTAATGAATTTGTTCTTTTCGACAGTCCTTCGTCTTAATCGTTAAAAAATACCGCTTGTAAAATCCAATAAAGTTAAAGAATCAATCGATATTTATCTACCTGCGACGTTCTCCGGCTCATTCCGACGGGCTGCAAATTCTGCTGCTGCTGCATCATTTGATGGCTCGTCATTTGCGGCTGCGAGGTTTTCCGGCTGAAAAAGAGCGTTTGAAATTGATTTGTTTCAAAATTTTACAGGAAATATGAATTTTTAAATCAAGTATTGCCTTCTCCAAGGGACGATTTTTGTGAAAAAAATCTTTATTTAATTTCTACTATTATTCTTTATTCGTTTCTTTTTATATAGTTAAAGTAATCATATAAAACACATTTTAAAAAAACCGATTTTCGAAATTTACGCGCAAAACCCCGGATTATCGACCGCCTATTTTTTATTCCATTCTAAAAAGTTTTTTTTGGTATAAAAATCTAACAAAATTATCAAAGTTTTCGAAACATTTTGACTATTTCGTCAAAAATGTGGATGAAAATAACCAAAAATATGAACAGTTTAAATTTTTCAATTTTTTTACAATAATTTGGCAATTTGCTAGCAATCAAAAATTACTAAAAATGCCTAAAATCATAAGAATACGCTGTATATTATTAATAGAGAGAAGATTCGGCCGACCATTATTAAATTTGGAAACTGGGCCACTAATTCAAAGCCTAAAACATTAATTTTTTGCGGACTGGCCAGGATCTGGG